GAAGTTTGTTCTTGTTGATTTGTGCACAGTCTCAATCACCATCTTTGTTATATGAAACCCATATATCCTGCACATGCAAAGCACAATGACCACCACCCTTTAAAATTGTTTATTGAGAGAATATTTTTTAACTCATTTCTAAATAAATATCCTTATTCCAGCTTACAGCTCAAGTTGTAGAACCCCGGAATGTGGTTTTAGGAATTACAGATATCAATAAAAATGATGAAACCAGACAATTTACAGGTAAGCAACTTAACTTCAAATTAATATTTTGCAGTGCTCTCTATGTCAACAAATTATTTTGTGTATCATTTTGTTTTTAAATTACAACTTTTTAATTTGTTGTATAACTGATATTATAAACTGAGAGGAAAATAATAACAAATGCAATTTCTGATGCTTATCACTGATTTTAATATAATTCTTCTTTTCAAACTTAAACTAGCTAAACTATGAATCCAATATGATTTGTAAATGTATGTATTAAACCTTTATCCATAAAGCAACAAATTCTTCTAAATGGAAGCTTTCAGAATATGTATAAATTGTCATACATACTTAAATTATAATAAAAAAAAAATATACATTAAAAAATGATTTATTAAAAGTATTCAATAAATTAAACAAATAAAATACATACACCATCAAATATGAACGTGAGTAATCATACTGAATTAAAGCGGGGGGGGGGGATCGTCAACTACGCATGCGTCAGATGGACATAGCGTGTCATTGTTTACAAACAAGTGTCTACCCATGAGCCTTTGCGTTTTTAGCGTGTGTAATTATCGTCGCTTGGGACTCAATTCTCACTCGTGCGCAGGTGACGACCCTCCCGCTTTAAGTTAGATTTGTAAACAATACACAGTCACTGAGTCTAGAGGCTTTGTTTGTCCTTCACTGTCATCTGAATTGTAGGTATGTTAATCAAAGGGATAACGTCCTATAATACTCTCAAAATGAAAAGTAAGACTGGGGACTAGGATATCTACTTTAAAGTGCCTGTGAAATGGCTGCTATTTTCACGCCTAAAATTATCCATTGATACATAAATATTATTAATTTTTATGTTTCTAAGCATGAATTATTTTTTTAAGTGAAAAAATGTGTTTTAAACTCAATCTACGGCAACTTTATTTTTGTGTATTTTAAAACGAGGCTCCTCATTAGCTTCTTATTTGCATACAGAAATTCCTCTTGTGACGTCAGAAGGGGAAGTCATATTTTTTATTTAGCTGAAATGTTTTATTTGGACACATTTTATGTTTTTAAGCTAGTTAATTAATTAACATTAATTTCGCTGAAGGAATTATTCAGTAAGAATAACATCCACATTTTTCTTATATGTTACATCTAACTCATCAAAAATCAGTGAAAATAAACTCCATACAAAACAGCCAAAATGTTTTTTTTTCAGCAAAAAATAATTCAAGTTAAAATATAGTATAGTACAGTAGCTTTGTTTTTAATATGGATTACATGTACCTTATACCTGTAAAATCTTTTGTATGTAATTTGAATATCTGCTGTACAATAACTGTTTTACAACATTCATCACATCCGCTATTTTATATATAGGTGCTGAACATGCCGGACAAATATTTGTGTATAAACATAAAAAGAAGATAGAATACAAAGGCCACAGAACTCCAGAAGTTCTCATTGCTTTTATCATAAAGGTAAGTGAGTGAGGATAAGCTCCCTCTATGTTCAAATGATGCTAATCTTTCGTTTTCGAGATATATAATCTACTGTAGACAGAATTTAATTCATGAGCATTTTGTGAATTTCATCAGTAACATTTGGCGGAACAGGCCTTAATGCAAGACCTCTGAAAAGTCACACATCCTGGTACTTTTTTTGGGGGGGGGGGTTCTAGCCTGACAAGGTTGCATGAGTTGCGCTCCGCGGTGCTCCAAACCCAACACACGCCTGGCAGAATGATGTGGTTTTCCACTTCCCCCGAAATTGCAGGAACGTCAGATGGTGACAGCTATTAAAGAGTAACCATTCATGGCAGAGTTTATTTGTTGACATAATGTGTGATAAATTGCTGTTGCGCCCTCTGCATGGTGTTACCATGATGACCACCAAAATGAATATTCATTGAAACTAATTGCAAGAAGGTGTGAAATTTGCCAATTTGCATTATTGATTTGCCGACGAGACATACAGAAATCTGTCAGGCGCTAGTAAGGTTTGATGCAGTTCAACCGACAAGACTGCCACTCAAGCCTACATGTCAGGTTAGGGGGGTTCAAATTCATTATCAATACAAATTTTGCAATTATTTTCTCTTAAAATGTATTTATTTCTTTGGAGTTCAAAAACATGGCAAAAATTATTTTAGAATATGAAACACTATTGTCGTTATAGGACCATCATACTGTGACATCATATGTGCACATTTATGTGAACCTGCACATGAATCTTGCTTTCCAATCAGCAAGCTGCAGTCATCTGCAGGTTGTTTTATTTACATGGACTCCTTTATGTATATCAATCATAGCAAACATCGTTGTTATTTTATCTTTGGTATGAACGACTGGTTCTTGCCAACCGGCCACTGCGCACACATGCAAAAAAGTGCGACAACCTGTAAGACAGAAAGTACCAAAATGTGCAACTGGACCAACATTGTTTCAAGGTGTCACCAGATTCAATAGAAACCCATATCATATCAGTTATATGAGTGATATGACTTGTTTGTTCAATGTACTAATTTGTAATAGCTAACCCTGATTGTTTTGTTTATTTGCCAGTTATTTGATGATCCAGTTACTGTATTACAAGGAAAAACAGCTAAGAGAAGTCTGGATAAGGTGGATCTACCAAAAGTTGTTGGATATTTTGAACAGAAGAGTAAAGGTAGAAAATAGAATAGAATAGAATAGAATAGAATAGAATAGAATAGAATAGAATAGAATAGAATAGAATAGAATAGAATAGAATAGAATAGAATAGAATAGAATAGGATAGAATAGAATAGAATCATTAAGTAGGTTTACTGGTTATCATTGTCTGTCATTGTTATTGTTGTTGTCATTGTTAACATTCGTTTATTTGTTTTGTCTATTTTGGTGGATCCTACAGTACAGAATGACTTTTGCATTCTTGCTAAACAAGAATTTTTGCCAGTCTAGGTGCTTGTATGCAAATTAAGGTTGTAACATCTTATACTACCATAGTGAGACTTTTATATTATAAGAATCTAAGTTCACACTGGACATTGAAATAGTTATGCTATGTTTTTATAATTTCTGTAGCTTACATAGAATTTCAAGAAGCAGCTAAGACCTTTCAACCTACCATACCATTTTATGCATGTTTTGATAAAAAAGTAAGTAATCTTTTATTTTGGTGTTCTTAATACTGTCAGTATGATACACCGTTATCCAATGCTTCAAAGTTTTAATTACAACAGTGCATTGTGGGTAATTGTATTATGGGTAATAATTTTACTAAGTAATAGGACACTGACACACAGAATTATGATTAAACGGATTGTGCATGGTTGTTCTTGTGCATGGTTGTTCACCTGACAAATTGTTGCTCAAACAAACTGTTTATGCAACTTGGAAAGTATGGTGTATGTATTTATTTATACTACAGAGTACTTCATAGCCTCTTTTGGATTCATTCAATTTAATTTAGATTTCAATTTATATAATTTTATTATTATCAAATCATAAATACAGACAAATTATGAACATGTAAACTTACACACACTAGTATTGAACTCACGACCATGACACCTTAAGCAGAAGTGCACCTCAGTATCCCACACTAACCAACATAAAAAAATAGTTCCAAGGAGTCTAATGAAAGTGTCCTCACAGTGACTAAATGAATATGAAAAGTCAAATTGATAACATCACAGAAAATGACATACATATAAAGCCAGGTATTCATGGTCAGTTTGACCTACTCTGTTAAATTTCCATTTAGGGAAAAAGTACATGTCCACCAGCAGTGTCAAACATCTGATATTTCTTGGCATAGTTACTAGGACCATTCTGAGCTATTATTGGAATCCCATATGTTGAGTAGGTTGCCACATAGAATGTATGCTATAAATATTGAAAATCAATTGCATTTGAGATAATTTATTATTTTATTGCCCTCACAGATAGCTAAACAGTTGCATCTTAAGAAGCTCAATGCAATACATTTTATTAGACCGTATGACAAGGCAATAGAGATGACAAACATGGTAAGTATAACAAATAACAACATTGGTTATCTCATTTCTTTTTTGAGTACCCGGTAAGTGCCCCTCTTACAGCACCACAGTCTTTGCAAAGTGCACATTTGAAAATTCTATTATACATATGATACATCTCATGGGACCAATACTGAAATAACATGTCATGAAGACTGTGGCTTGTCAACCATGATCCTTATACATTTTTATCAGTTCATGGTGCAAATACACAGAAAAAAAATAGGGTCATTGGACATATTTTCACGTAACAAAGTATGAAACATCATGGAAAAAAAGAGCCAATAATTTGCATTTTACACTGGTTTCTATGGTGATATGATTTATTGAGACTTTAAATTCATTGAGAATTTTTTTCTTGGAGACATGAGATAACAAACTTTTGGTTGATACAAATTTAAATTTTCCAATATGATAAACGTTTTCCATTATATGCAATTAGATGTGCTTTCCCATACTGCATTGCATGTATGTGATAATATGATCAGAGTAGAAATGTTTAACAAAGCTCAAACTGAGAGCATTTTCATGTCAAAATATTATTTCAACGATTAAAAAAAAAACAATCAACAATGTTTAAAATTCTTGTAACACAAAATTGATTTTCTGCCCTCTAGTGGCATATATGAAGGGTAACATTGTTTTTATTGGAGGCCATTTTAAACATATCTTGACAAGTTAAAACAGCTACCATAGTAGTTTATCACAGGGGTATTGTTTTGTTAATACAGAATTTGTAAAAGTGTAGGAATAAACCGACATGACTGCCTAATCACAAATCCAAGACATCATGCAGATAGAGAACTTTCAAAACAAAAAACTTTTGGCAATTGTCTAAATAATTATGGGTTGGAAAGTCATTTGTCATCACTATTACTGTCACCATTGTTAATAGTTTGTTTTGTTTCCCACATAACTAATGGATGAATATGCTTTACTGATTATATCTTAAGTTTTTCTTTTTCAAATTATCTCTGAGTAGCCTGCCTCACATCAAGATATAGAAGATTTTGTGAATGTACACAGAAAAGGTGGACTGAGAAAACTAAGATTGGAGGATATCCATTACGTGGGTAAGTTGTTAATATTATGTAAGCCAAGAAACTAAATGTTGTCATACCTTTCATGTCCAGACTATTATAGAGAGAGACGAAGGATTCATGAAATTAGATGAAGGTAACAAGGCAGGAAAAAACACAGACACTAGTTTCCTTCTGCAAATTCAGTTAATATGCAATTGTTCATAACAGCACTAATCATTACATAAGTTGTTGCCAAGTGTAATTATAACAGGCAATGTTACAAAAACTCACTTATCAAAACAGCAAAGTTGATTGGGTTGAACACTTTATTGAGTAGCATTGCTGTTCCCTGTATCTGCTAATTGCATGTACACTGTCATGAACATGCACTAAGGAGTAGTTATTTATGACTGATTTTAACTCCAGTTAATAGCCAATGGGTGCTTATGTCATTATACTGTCTGTCTGTTCATCTGAACAACCAATTGTGAATGTGATATCTCAAGAATCATTGATCATAATCAGAATGATACTGAGCAGTCATATTCTATGGGAC